TAAGGAAAAACAAGATCTAAATGTTGGAGGTGACCCATCCATCTGCAGGTACACTTAGTACCTGATCACTTTTTTTTCATACAAGAGATTTTTTTTTCAATGATGGAAACAGCTGGTTAAATTCTAATCAGGTAAACAAGATTCTTACCAAAACATGTATCTATTTTTCTTTTTAAAAATAATCTCTTAAAAATATTTAATGCTATTTATCGCTATTATTATTACTTTTAATTTGCTATAGGACACATATACTCACCAGAGAGAGACAGAGACAGAGAGAGAAAGTGAGAAAGCAAGCTGCCACGTCTGGGATTCAAACCACCGTCAGTCATATGGGAGTCCAGCACCCCAACTACCATGACACCTGCTGTCCTTTATTTATTTATTTATTTAAATTAAGACAGTTGCATAAAAGTTGGCTTGTCAAATTATGACACATTCTGCTTAAATCACACAATACCAGATGGAAGAAGAACACGTACAGGTGGGAAAAAGGTTTTACAGGTGGGGAGAACTAACCGTACAGTTAGAGGAAGAAGGGAAAGTACACAGACTCACTTAAAGAAAACTGAATATAAAAAGAGAGAAGCTTCCTCATTCGAAGAAAAGGGGGCAACTCTGCTTCACTAACCATTATAGTAAAGTTAAAAAAAGTAAGTGATGAATTGGCCTCCTGAATTTTATATTCTGGTACTCCAAGAAGACTCTTCTAAAATGTTATTGCAATATTTCACATTTTGTTAAAAATACACAGTCCTGTAAGATGACCATGAAGACCAGTTTAGATTCCATAAACATAAAATCACCATGATCCTATCAAATCTTGCTATTTCCATTGTCTAAATTCCTCTGGCATACTAATAATGTTAATAACGAACGCCTATTAAATACTCACAGACTGACACTTTGGCCACATTCTTCGCGCCTTAGTTTGTCAATCTTCACTCTGATCCTCTATCTTAGGTCTTACTATTGGGTTGCTGGAGAAGTCATCACTTATTTTTTCAATGCTTTTCTCTACAAAAATGTATCATGACTTTTCTGACAACCCACATTTTAGTGGAAAAAACAGAGACACCGAGGGGTTAAATCATTGTTCCAAGGTCACACAGCAAGAAGAGGCAGAGCCAAGATCGAACTTTATATAATTTGGCCCAAGAGCAGTTTTATCTAACAGATAAGTAAATGTGGTCCACATGTGTAATTCTAAATTTTCTTTTCTTTCTTTTTTTCATTTGCTGGAGAGCATGTATGCTCAACCAGAAATAAACAGAGAGATAGAGAGGGAAAGTACTCCCCAGTGGGGTGCAATTATGCTGCAATCTCTTCTTCTCCATTTCTCCAACCTGTCAGGATTTGGGGCATGTATGCACACGTGCCCAGCATATTTTTCAAGCCGCTAGAGCCAGGATAGGAACCACACAGTCAGCCATGTAGGAACTGGTTCCCGTAACCACTAAACCATGGGCCAGGGTATAATTCTAAATTAAAAATGCAAAATAAAGCAGATAGAATTAGAAATGTAAAATGAAGCCAAATTAAAAATGTAAAATGAGGAACCAGCAGACAGCATAATGGTTACGTTGCTGGATTCCCACATAGTTGATCACAGTTCAAGTCCTGGACTTGGTGGCTTAAAACTCTCACTGGGCGTGTGTGTGTGTGTGTGCATGTCCAAAATCCTGAGAGGAGAATAGAGGAGAAGGGACTGCAGTGTGGACATGCCCCCAGGGGATGATGTCTAGCTTTTTGTCTCTCTGTCTCTGTCTCTCTGGCGAGCCCATGTGCCCTATAGCAAAACATAATTCTCTTAAAAGAAAAATGTAAAATGAAGCATACAAAATTAATTTTATAAATACATTACTTAACCCAATATATACAAAATATTGTAATTTTCAACATGTAATCAAATACGCATATATTAATGTACATCTTTTTTAAAGTATTGAACTGTCAAAATATGGTATGTAGGGGGCCAGTAGTGGCATGGTGGTTAAGGCACTGGACTCTCATATGGCCAACTATGAGTTGTGGACCTGGCAGCTTGAAAATCACACAAACCCATGTGCCTTATGGCAAAAACCTAAAAAATAAATAAGTGCATAGATAGACAAATAAATAAATTAAATTAAATATGAGTAAGTCATACACATCTTTTTAAATCTGGTATGTATTTCATACTAAGCATATCTTGATCCAGGCATCACATTCCCAGGGCTCACAGCCTGCGGTCAGTAGTCTGGGGCCCGACAGCATAGTTGTACAGTAGGCTCTCTTAACTGAAGTGCTCCAAGAAAGCAATCTACAAGGCTTGGGACCAGCAGATGGCATGGCGGTTAAGGTGTTGGACACTTCCACATGGTCGACCGTGGTTCAAGTCCCAGACCTGGGGGCTTACTTTCTCACTTTCCCTCTCTCTTTGTCTCTCTCTTTCTCTGGTCAAATTAAAATAAATGGATGATTTTTTAAAAATTAAATAAATAATTATTTAAAAGAAAAAAAGCAATCTACAAGGCCTTAGTCATTGCAGTTAGAGAGTATTCCTTTTTTTTCAGAGTTAACACATCAGTACTCCAGCAGTCTTTCATGAACGGATCATGAAATCAATATTCTCCTCTGGGAAAAGCCTGGGCAGGTTTCTAAGCAGGCTCCTTGTAAGGTCAGGGTTGTCCTATGCTGAGGGTGCCTCCACCATGACATAGACTCACTGTGTGTACAGCATCCCACAGGGCCCTCTGCATCCCCTCCCTGGGACCTGGGAGTGAGGGGAACCAGTGGGAACACGAGGTTCTGCAGCCTCCCATGCCAAGAGTAATAAACTTCTTTGTCTCTGACCCAGAAATCTTGTGTCTTCTGCCAGCCTCTATGGAGCTGGAAACCTAACTTGTTAGCTTGAAAGCAGAGACAGTGCCAGGCCTCACAGTATGTGATGTAACTTTTGAGTACTGTTAGGTTTACTTTTTTTCAAGTTTGTTTATTTCAGAGATAGACAGAGATAGACAGAGATAGACAGCATCCTTAACAAGGTCTGATACCACAGTCCACACCCAGCCCCAGCCAGTCCTAGACCATGGGTCCTGGCGTCCTCAGAGAAGTCTCTGGATGTGAACAAAATTAATTTTATAAATACATTACTTAACCCAATATATACAAAATATTGTAATTTTCAACATGTAATCAAATACGCATATATTAATGTACATCTTTTTTAAAGTATTGAACTGTCAAAATATGGTATGTAGGGGGCCAGTAGTGGCATGGTGGTTAAGGCACTGGACTCTCATATGGCCAACTATGAGTTGTGGACCTGGCAGCTTGAAAATCACACAAACCCATGTGCCTTATGGCAAAAACCTAAAAAATAAATAAGTGCATAGATAGACAAATAAATAAATTAAATTAAATATGAGTAAGTCATACACATCTTTTTAAATCTGGTATGTATTTCATACTAAGCATATCTTGATCCAGGCATCACATTCCCAGGGCTCACAGCCTGCGGTCAGTAGTCTGGGGCCCGACAGCATAGTTGTACAGTAGGCTCTCTTAACTGAAGTGCTCCAAGAAAGCAATCTACAAGGCTTGGGACCAGCAGATGGCATGGCGGTTAAGGTGTTGGACACTTCCACATGGTCGACCGTGGTTCAAGTCCCAGACCTGGGGGCTTACTTTCTCACTTTCCCTCTCTCTTTGTCTCTCTCTTTCTCTGGTCAAATTAAAATAAATGGATGATTTTTTAAAAATTAAATAAATAATTATTTAAAAGAAAAAAAGCAATCTACAAGGCCTTAGTCATTGCAGTTAGAGAGTATTCCTTTTTTTTCAGAGTTAACACATCAGTACTCCAGCAGTCTTTCATGAACGGATCATGAAATCAATATTCTCCTCTGGGAAAAGCCTGGGCAGGTTTCTAAGCAGGCTCCTTGTAAGGTCAGGGTTGTCCTATGCTGAGGGTGCCTCCACCATGACATAGACTCACTGTGTGTACAGCATCCCACAGGGCCCTCTGCATCCCCTCCCTGGGACCTGGGAGTGAGGGGAACCAGTGGGAACACGAGGTTCTGCAGCCTCCCATGCCAAGAGTAATAAACTTCTTTGTCTCTGACCCAGAAATCTTGTGTCTTCTGCCAGCCTCTATGGAGCTGGAAACCTAACTTGTTAGCTTGAAAGCAGAGACAGTGCCAGGCCTCACAGTATGTGATGTAACTTTTGAGTACTGTTAGGTTTACTTTTTTTCAAGTTTGTTTATTTCAGAGATAGACAGAGATAGACAGAGATAGACAGCATCCTTAACAAGGTCTGATACCACAGTCCACACCCAGCCCCAGCCAGTCCTAGACCATGGGTCCTGGCGTCCTCAGAGAAGTCTCTGGATGTGAGCCTGAAACCTTTCCATGTGGGTCAGCCTCATAGACGACTGTGCTTTACCACTGTGCTATTTACTGTCTGTAGCTCAGTCTTTGTTTTTTTTTGTTTTTTTGTTTTTTTTTAAGAGAGATTTTTTTTTATAGGGTGTGTGCCCTCCCTGGAGAGACAGAGAGACAGAAAGCAAGAACTCACTCCCCTGGGGGATGGCCATGCCACAACCCCTTCTCCTCCATTTTCCTCTTGGGATCTTGGGTATGCATGCACACGCGCCCAGTGTGAGTTTAAGCCACCGGATCCAGGACTTGAACCACTGTCAACAATATGGGAATCCAGTGATGTAACCATTATGCTTTCTGCTGGTCTTTGTTGCTAGGTTTTGAAACAGGCATCTCCCAGAGGGAAAAAACCTTACATATTCTATAGTTTGGACCAAGATCAAATGGAATTAATGCTTGAGGATTACGGTTTCTGAAACATGGCAGGGAAAAAGATGGACTATTTCCCTCCTACTGGGAGAGGTCTGCTCTCCTGCTCCGATGGCCTCGTCGGGTCCTCTCCTAAATCCCCCCACCACAGAGCATGTCTCTCCGGGTCCTCCCAGTTTCCATCACAGAGCAGTGCGTACACTTTACCTTTCCACAGCACTTGGCTTTGTCTATGATCTTTAGGGCGAACTCCTTTCCAGTGGACCTGGGGAACAATCAGAGAAAGACCATGTAAAGTTATAAACCAAAGGTGCCATCCTTCCCGACTTCCTCTCTAGCACAGCTCGGAGGAAAGAAACATGGCTTCTTCCTCCCTGTATCAGAGACAGTGTTGGGAGGAGCCAGGGAAGAAAAAAGAAAAACTTCAAATCCACACACTACGTTAATTAAATCTCCCATCTGTCTGTCTGTCTGTATATCTCTATCTCTATAGCTATCTATATAGATATAGATTATTTATTTAGTATTTATTTTTGGTTATAGGATGTATGTACTTCTTGGAGAGAGAGGGAAGGTGAGAGGCCATCTCCCAGAGGAGAGGGACACGCTGCAATCCCTTCCCCTCCATTTTCCTCTTGGGATTTTTAGGCATTCACACACATGCACCTGGCATGGTTTTTAAGCTGCTGGGTTTAGGACTCAAACTGTGCAGTCGATCACATGGGATCCAGCGCCTTAACCACCATTCCACCTGCTGGCCCTGTCCTTCCATGACTATTAATAATTACAATGTTTTTAAGTCACTCATACTGAAATTCCCCAGGGGGTGATGTCTCACTTTCCTTCTCACTATTTCCATCTCTCTTCTCTCTGGCAAACACATGTGCCCTATGGAAAAACCTAAAAAATATTTAAAGTCTGTTTTATTAGAGCCAGACAAATCCTTTCCCCATACTTAAATCTCAAAACAGTTCTTTTAAGAGACAATAAAACGAAGAAAAGTGGGTCAAAGTAACCTTAAATTTTTTTTAGTATCAATGTACGTTTACAATAATGCAGGAGCTGCATTAGCCCATAATTCAAAACTGAAAAGCTTCCAGACTTTACTTATATAGATGTCATGTATTTGGACATTAAAATCCTGCTATTGTTATTTCATTTTTAATAGCTTCTAGCGTTTAATGTGAACATGCCAGTTTTCTGTTTACTAAAGAAGATTGTAGGATTTTTTTAAAAAGAATGATTTTGTTGACATTTATTTTATTATTTTAGTTTGACCAGAGAGGGACAGAATGAGAGGGAGAGAGAGAGAAAGTGAGAAGACCGTAGGACTCTTACAATATACCTTTTTTTGAGAGATTTTTGCTATCAGGCACGTATGCTCACTGGAGAGACAGAGACACAGAAAGTGAGAAATCACTCCCCAGGGGGGATGGCCACACCACAATCCCTTCACCTCCATTCTCCTCTTGGGACCTTGGGCATGCACACACACACACCTGGCATGAGTTTCAAGTCTGGGGCTCGAACTGTGGCCGGACACATGGGAGTCCAGCACCTTAACCACTACACCACCCGCTGGCCCCTACAATATACATTTTGTTCTGTCTAGGGCAGCTTACGCCAGGGTCACAGAATCCACCAACGATCTCTTGCGTGGGAGAAAAACATTTCCCATCTACATCGCTTCCCCTAAAACATAAACCAACCCTGCTTCAGATTTCTAACAATCTTTAGAACTCATATTCTGTTACTTGGGTGGTAACTGGGGTCCCAGAGCCTGGAGAACAGGAAGCTAGCTTTGTAACTCCAATATGAGGAGCACTAAAGCTTCAATGGAAAGGTAACAAGATTAAAAAAATAGTTATCAGAACTTTCAGGGAAATAAAAATTACCATTTAGAACACATAGGATAGTGGCCTAGACATACAAAGATGCTGAGTCTTCTTTGGTTTAATGGGGTTTACAAAAAGCATGAAAGGGACCAGCAGTTAGTGCCATGGTTATGTCGCTGGACTCCCATGTAGTCGACCATGGTTCATGTCCTGGACCTGGGGGCTTAAATTCTCGTCGGGTGTGTGTGTGTGTGTGCCCAAGATCCCGAGAGTAGAATGGAGGAGAAGGGATTATGGTGTGGCCATCCCCCCGGGGGGTGATTTCTTGCTTTCTGTCTCTCTGTCTTTCTGACGAGCACACATACTCTACAGCAAAAACCTCTCAAAAAAAAAAAAAAGGGCATGGAATAGGTGAAAGGTTGACTGACTCTCATCTTTTTTTAAGTCTATTTCTTCCATGAGAAAGAGACAGGGAGAGGAGGAGAGGCAGGCATCCTCAGTAGGGTGTCTGTGCTGTGATGCTGCTCCCCGCTGCAGCCAGCCAGGGTCACAAGGACACATGTGCCAGCAATGCACAGGGAGACCTCTGGACTCAAACCCAGCACCTTCCCATGTGACCTCGACACCATGGAGCCTCACATCGCCACTGGGCCACTGCAGCCGGCCACCATTCTGACTTTAAACAGAATCAGAGCTCATGTATCCTGAACTTCCGGTAATTTCCATCAAGTACGAACTGAGAGGAGTATTGTGGAGTTAAAATTACAATTAGACTGAGAAGAGTGCCTGGCACAGGTAAGTGTCATAGTGTTTTTTTTGGGTTTTAATACCTTTATTCTTTTATTCTTTTCTGGTTGTTATTGTTAGAGGTTTTTGCCTTGGGGCACGTGCATTTGCCCAAGAGACAGACAGACAGACAGAGGGAAAGTGAGAAATCACACGCCCCTGGAGGCCTGGCCATACTACAATCCCTTCTCCTTCATTCTCTTCCAGGATCTTAGGTACTCACACACATGTGCCCAATGTGATTTTCAAGCTACCAGGTCTGGGACTGAAACCATAGTCAGCCATGTAGGAGCCCCGTGACATAAACACCACACCATCTGCTGGCCCCTTAATACTTTAATTCCTTCACATCCCCCTCTGAATCATGGATGAAAGCTTATATATCTCTCAGCCCAAATGCATACAAAAGTTTCAGTGTGTGTGTGTGTGTGTGTGTGTGTGTGTGCGCGCGTGTGTCCCATCAAACTGCTATAGGAATGCAAAACAGCTGATTCTAAAGGCAGACTCTTTCAGAGAGAAGGAAAAGAAACTTCTCAAAAAGGTCTTGTATTCATGAGGAACAATACATTCCACGGGAGAAATGTTCGAGTAGGTGAGAACAGCACCGCCTTCACCATCGCTCACCTCTCCACACACTCTTTGACGACTGCGAAATTGCCATCGCCGATGACCTTCCCGACCCTGTATTTCTCAAGAAGAGTGGATGATTCCGAGCACCTGTTCCCATTCACACCTGCAAGAAGGACAAAGCAGAGTCTAAGGAAAACCTCAGCACTTTACGATTCCTACATGCTGATAAAATAACAAATTGCAAAGCATGCATTTCTAAATCTGCAGGGAAACTAAAGAAAATCTCCGAGCACATTTCCTGAATAGAACACCTGAATCACCAATTTTCTTTTGACTTTGTTGGCTGGACTCAGAGACCAACATAGTCAATGAAGCTAAAAAAAAAAAAAAACCTGAAGTACCAACTGAAATAAATGATTAGTCTTGGGTAAAAAAGAAGTCTAACAAAAATGTTTCCAAACTCTTTGGTCAACACTCAAGAAGAGTAGAGGATGTTGGCGGAGATTTAATCTCAGACATGCTCTCCGGATTTTCCCTAAAGATTTTCTAGTAAAGAAAATTCTACCCAGATAAGAGGCCTTGTTAAGGGTCATTCCTGGCTCAAAGCCTTCTCAAAATGGTGTATGTGGCAGAGGTGGGAGGGTGAAGACTACACCACTTTCACAATGTGTCCCAGTGACCAGCACATAGCAGACAAAAAAAAAAAAAAAATCTGTCATCTAATTGAGAGAAAGAAAATACATTTAGGAGTGGTGGGTGGAAGGCCACAAAAGAAACCCCCGTGGAAAATATGAAACTCATTAATGGCAAAAAGACTTTCTGTATCTCGAAGTGATTCCCAGCCTCACCCCTGCCACCTACCAGAACTACATGGGCTAATGAGTGACAATGATCGCATCCCTGTTTAGGAAGATCATAATTTAGGACAAGTGGGTTTTGTGTGGCCACTAAGTTCACGCGGGTGAGTTCCCATGTAAAACAGTGATCAGGGTGAGAACTACCTTCGGGACTCATACAACGGTCGAGTTCAGGTCCACCGTTGACGTTAGAAGAAGATCTGCCATGAGCAGAAATCTGCTGGAAAAGGAAAGCGGCCATTATTCATCAGGATAAATCCAGAAGTCCTCAGCCAGCTAATCCCTCCACAATGGAAAGTGCTTACACAAGGTGAAACTATAACAATGCAGAGAGAGGAAGCACTCACTTTCCCTCATCTTACCTCTCTCCCTACACACGATACCATGCATTTCCTCCTCAGATACAGTATTTTCAATTCAGATTCGATATTTGGAGAATGGACGTTATGTTACTTCTTTAAAGAAATTGTTACTTTTGACTTCAATGACGTAAAGGAGACTTTATGGCATCACCGTTAAACTAGGGACTTACTAGTGGCAAAATAAGGCTTAGGGCTATGGATCATTCTAATCATTCCAGGGAAAACTTTTGGCTCCCAGGAATTCAATCATTTTATTTACTACAAAAGAAAACTGGTGGGCAATCAAAACTTTGTTTTGTTCTGTTTGTTCATTCATTTATTTATTGCCAGTGAAATTAAAAGCAAGTAGGGGGCAGCAGGTGGTGTGCTAGTTAAGATGCTAGACTTCCACATGACCAACCATGGTTTGAGTCCCTGGTGGTTTTCTCTCTCTCTGTCTCTCTCTCTCCCCCCACACACACACCTCTCTTTGTCTCAAGCATGTGTGTCCTGTAGTAAAATTTAAAAATAATAATATTGATAAATAAAATTAAATAAACAATTCTTTAAAAAAAAAGAAATTAAAATTAACTCTACAATCAGTAGCACTCTATACTAGACTGTTTTAAAGCTAGAATATTTAGGGAACCAGCAGTTAGAGTAATGGCTATGTCGCTGGACTCCCACGTAGTCGACCGCGGTTCGTGTCCCGGACCCGGTGGCTTAAAACTCACGCCGGGCACATGTGCGTGCGTGCCCAAGATCCCGAGAGGAGAATGGAGGAGAAGGGATTGCGGCATGACCATCCCCCCTGGGGGGTGATTTCTCGCTTTCTGTCTCTATGTCTCTCTCTGTCTGTCTGGCGAGCGCACGCGCCCTACAAAAAAAAAAAAAGCTAGAATATTTAAAACCAAGGCCCTGAAAGAGAACTTAAGGGGAAGCCTAAGAGAAAACCACATTCCCTATTCTGGTCTCTCCTCCCATCTCCCACCCTGGTGCAGTCCCTCGCTTCCCACATGTTAAGGCCAGAGAAACTCTTCCTAAGGATAGTTGCGCTATTACTCCCAGGACCCAAAAGACCCAGTAGGTCTTGATGAGCAACAGGGTAACTTCAAATCTTTGGCTCTCCAGCATGGAATTCAGGCCACCATCTGTCCCCTAACTGTCCAGTGTGTTTCCCATCACTTTTTTGGTTTGTTTGCTAAAGGGTGTGTGTGTTTGCAGAAGAGAGATGAGGCAGGGGGCTGAGGGAAGGTAGTAAAAATTTTCCCCCAGGGAATGACCTGCTGCAATCCCTTCTCCTCCATTCTCCTTTCGGGGACTATGGGCATGGAGGCACACATACCTGGTGTGATTTTCAAACTGCCAGGTCCAGGACTCCAATTGCCCATCAGCCACGTGGGATCCAGCTACCTTAACCTCCATGCCACCCAAAACGTTTTCTTAGGCATTTTGTATTTATATCGACTCAAATAGTTTCCTTTTTAAAACGAAAAGGACTTAAACTTTTCAAGTCTTAATGTTCTGATTTGGAAAATGGACATAGTAGCAGTACTCAGCTAGAGATTTGCTAGAGAATAAAAGTTAGCTCACAGTTGCATAATCACTTAGCACAATCCCTGACACACACTAACATTCATGACTGCCTCTCCTTTCAACATCTAGCACAAATCCTGAAGCGAGTGAGCAGGAAGGGTTTCTGAACTGCTGAGTACAAGAGGGCTCTAAGAGACCTTTTGCTGAGTAATGTATTCCAGATCTGTTCCTCCTCTAATCAACCATTCCTAGACCAAAAATTACTGCTCAAGGAAATAAATCCAAATTAAGGACCAGCAGATGGGGTAATGGTTACATGACTGAACTCCCACACAGTCAACCATGGCTCAAATCCCAGACCCAGTAGCTTAAAACTTAATGCTGGGCACACGTGCACAAGATCCTGAGAGGAGAATGGAGGAGAAGGGATTGCAGTGTGGCCATCCCCCTGTGGGTGATGTCTTGCTTTCTGCCTCTCTGTTTCTCCAGTGAGCACATGTGCCCTACAGCAGAAATCTCTCTGAAAAAATAAATATAGAAAATCAAATTAAGTTACTCAATTCTTACTAGAATAAAGATGAGAAGAAAGCAATTTTTCTGGAAAGTTGTATCTCAAGAGGGAAACAGAAAGGGACCAGTAGTTAGCATAATAGCTATGTCGCTGAACTCCTATGTAGCCGATCGCGGTTCAAGTCCTGGACCCAGTGGCTTAAACTCACGCCGGGCACGTGTGCGTGCGTGCCCAAGATCCTGAGAGGAGAATGGAGGAGAAGGGATTGCGGTGTGGCCATCCCCACTTGGGGGGTGATTTCTCGCTTTCTATCTCTCTGTCTCTCTCTCTGTCCTCCTGGTGAGTATCCACTCCCTATAGCAAAAACCTCTCAAAAAAAAAAAGAGAGAGAGGGAGAGAGAAACAAAAAGATCCCTGCTTGCTCCCAGAATAAAGCAATGGGGGAGGTGGCTTGCCGATGCTTGTGAACACCCGCACAGTGACCAGTTTGGCTGCAAGTCGAAATCTCACAGCCCAGAGCAAGGCAGCTCACAAACTGAGGTCACAGCCCCCTGAGCCAGGCACAGACTCTGGGCAGAAATCCTCACCTCGCCCAGCACGGGCAGCCTCAGGCCTCACTCCCACTGCCAAGGTCTGAGACTCACCTACGTCCTGCTCAGCTGTCCTGGAAGTGGCGGCTACTGAACACATCCCTTTCTAGAGCTGATCTGAGTGTACGTGTTTACTTCAGACTGGTATGTCCTGCCTGGTCCAAGGACTCTCTAGGAAGGCAGGCAGGCAGGCGGGCTCCAAAGGCTGAAACACAGGCATTTTTATCTCCTGTTTCCACGGACGGCTGACTCCCTAGACTGTTTATTGACTGAGTTCCTATGAGTCACTGTAACACTGCCATGTTTACTCTCACCAATCCCCACCCCACCCTGTTCTGATTCCCCACATAGCTGGCCATGATGAACCGGGTTTATGCTGGGATTCAGGGTAACACAAGCAGGCAGAGTGCAGGAAACAGGACAGGTGGTGGATGCCGGTTCCCTGGACTAAGCCAGAGCAGAGCCTCCCGGGGAGGGGGTGGGCACAGGGCCAGATGAAAGCGACTTTCATGTGCACCCAACAAAGGCTTCACTACACTGCCAGGAAACACGGCTCTCAGCACACCATGGCCGCAAGGACATTTTCCAAATGCTCAAACTGATGCATTTGTTTAAAGAAGGTTACGTCTCAAGCATTACATATTCATAAAAAGAGAGAGCAAGCATGAGGGTGTGAGGACTCCATTAGTTAACGGGGGTGACTTAGCCTATTCCTTATCCAAATAGGTGTTCCTTTATGTGAAAATAAAGCTTTTGTGAAGGAAAGCATGAAAACAATAAAGAGGGTCATTGTGTTACGGCAGAGCTGGACAGAGACCAAGGCGCGGACAGGATTGCCCTTCTCTGGCCTCGCTCTTTAGTAACATAGCAACAGCTTGTGGTGCATTAAAGGATGCAGAGATGACGAGACACAAGACTGCCCAGAAGTTCACGGTCTTACAAGGAGGCCTGTGTGCCCTTCAGTGTAGGATCCACACTAAAGGTTACAAATGGCAGGCGAGCCATCTCGCTAAGGGGTGAATCTGGGCGTGCACAGCTGACTCCTTTCCTCGGTGGGCCATCAGGCTCATTGCACTTCCCAGTAATGAAGCCGGGCTCTCCAGAGAAACAAGAAAAGCTGGGTGTGCACTGGGATCTCTGGGAGCAGGGAGAGGCTACTGTGAACTTCCAGGCAAGGCATTTCCAGGGCCCTAGAGACACACAAGGAACAAGGAAGATGCAGGGAGAGAGCTAGGACTTCACAACATTCTCCAGTTTCCCTTGCAACATCTACGTGGTGCCCTCACCCTTGTTAGAGAATTATTATTATTTTAACTGAAGTAAAATTGAATTAGCACCCAAATTAGCAAAAAGGTTTTTTGCCATAGGGTGATGCATCTGTAGAGAGAGACAGAGACATCCCCCATCCCATGGTGAATGGCCATGCCCCAATCCTTCCTCCTCCATTCTCTTCCTGGGATTTTGGGCACATGGGTACATTTGCCCAGGTCATTTTCAAGTCACTAGGTCTGAGACGCGAACTGCAGTCAGCCATGTGGGAGTCCAGCATTGTGACCACTGTGCTATGTGCTGGTCCCAACAATTTTCATGAATATCTCTTAAAATGTTAATGAGCACTCATGCTCCCATGATGTGAGATGGCTCAAAGCAAAGGGCTTAGATGTATGTCAGTGAGACCCTCGTGGCAGCATCTGGGCTCTTCTAGACACTGTCGTAATTACCAACTGGTTCGGAAAGATGGGATTATGTTCAGGAGCAGGGGGAATGTCTGTTTCCCAATGAGGTCCAGGTTGGTCAAGAAGGGACGGTGACAGAAAAGACAATATTACCGGCCATGTTCTCTGTGACCTGCAGTCACTGCACTGCCCACTGACTCCTCTGGCAACAGAGAAATACTGTTTCCATGAGTAAGCGAGGAAGGCAAATGCCCAGGTATCCCTTTCTGGGCCAGCCCCATGGCCCAGTGGTTAAGGGAGCCAGATCCCACATGGCCGACCATGCAGTCTGAAACCTGGTCCCACGGGCTAGAACAACATGCCCAGCAAGTGTGTGTACATGTCCCAAGTCCCAACAGAACAGAGAAGCCAAGACGGGGTTGCCTCATGACCCTGCCCCCTGCCCCACTGGGAGGCCACTTTCTCCTCTCCTTTTCTCGTGTCTTTCTCTCTCAGGCAAGTACACATGCCATCTGGGGGGGAAAATTCTCTTCTGCTTTTTAGTATTAAAAACAAACAAACAAACA